ATCGAGAAACCTTTCTTTTTGCCTGTACCACTTCGGTCATTTTCGGTGCTTGATCATGTCATCTCAGGAAGGCAGGTGTGGATCTGGAAAGCGCCAACTCCGAGGCCCAAACGCCCTTGTGGATCGCTTGCTGGTTCGCTCGTTGGGACGTGGCAAAGCTCTTGCTGCAGCACCGCGCGGACGCGAAGCGCACCGATCAGAGGTGCCGATCGCCCCTGTGGATTGCGGCCTGGTGGGGCCACGTGGATATGACGCAGCTGTTGATCCAAGCAGGGGCTGAAACCAATGGGGTCACCCATGAAGGTGATACAGCACTGTTGATGGCTTCTCAGTGGGGCTGCTTGGAGATTGCGGGGCTTCTGATTGAGGCCAAAGCGGAGTTAGAGAAGCCTACATTTGCAGATGAAATGATTTGTTTTTTTCCTCCCCAATGCTGGAAGAAGGCCGATTCTATACACAAGCCCCCCAAAAGAGGGGTTCTGTAGGCATGATAGATACTTAACTATAAGATATACATTCTCCAGGTGCTTGATCTGCACATGTTTCAGGAAACCGGATCTCTTCGGTCGTACCCCCTTACACGCTGCTGCACAATACGGCCATCTGGACGTGGCAGCACTGCTCATCGCCAAGGGGGGCTGATTTGAAGACGTGCAATCTGAAGGGTCACACATCTCTTCACATCGCCTTTGAACCTCGACCTCGCCTTTGAACCGCGTCGGCGGCGAAACGTGTCGACGATCGATTCGATCAGTGTCAGGTCGAAATGGCGTGATCTGCGGATTGGGGCGAAGGATTTTTGGGTGCCAACAAGGAGGTGTTTCCTGCTGTTTGGATTTAGAAGGGGTCTTTCCTGTTTTCTGCGGCTCAACTAATTGTATCTCGTTTTGGGCGCCAAGGATTGGCGTCAGTATGACATGGTGAAGCTCCTCATTGAGAAAGCAGCCAATGTACAGCGGGCGGATCAGATAGGAAGGACCCCCCTGATGATGGCATCCGGCGGAGATGATTTGGAGATTGCGGAACTGCTCCTCAAGGCGAAAGCAGAGGCCAGTGCAGCAGCCAATGTGGATGGATTTACTCCTGTATGGATTGCTTGCTGTGAAGGTCACGTGCGAATGCTTCAACTCCTTCTCGAGGCCCGTGCCGATGTGAATCGGCCCATCTTCAGTGGTGAAACGCCCTTGTTCGTGGCTTGCTGCGAAGACAAAGTACCCGCCGCCCGGATGCTGATCGAGGCGAGGGCCGATCTCAATCAGGCCGATCTGCTGGAACAAACGCCCCTGTTGATCGCCTGCCTCCACGGCGGGCCGCAGATCGTCCAGCTGCTCATCAAAGCGGGTGCTGACACAGCTTTGGCCAACCTTAGAGGGCAAACGCCACTCTTCGTCGCTTGTAGAGCTGGAAGATTGGAGACGGTGCAATTTCTGATTGATGCAGCTGCTGATATGGAGAGGCAGGGCCCGCAGGGCTGGCCAAAGTTGACACATCTCGGAGAGCAGATATGATACATTGATTTTATAGTATTTTACATAGTGTTCTTTCAACAGCAGGGCCTACAACACACACCACGCCATGTCTATACACTGCGCCCCTTTGCCCATGACCTCTCATGACCGCTCTTTGCCCATCTCCTGCCCACACGTGAAAGCAAGAGCTGCAACGTGCAATTACAAAGTTCAAACACTCACCGTGCCAATTTGTTCAACCACTATGCATCCATTCATCCCCTAAGATGCCGTGCCTTGCAGATCGGCTGCAGTGCGGCTGGCCTTGCCTGGGTGGCCATAAGCTGGAAGGTTTGCCCACAGAACTCCCAGCATAGCGGTGTGTCGCGTGTCGATATGTCGAGCTATTTAGGGCGGACACTGAGACAGTTTCTTTGTTGAGTCCCCTTCCCAACAGTGGAAACACGTTGACGCGTTTCTTGCTACAAATTGAACAGATGGACTTCAAATCTTTTCTGCAAGAAAAACAACAACACCTTGACCAGGCCGAGAACTCTTAGTTCGATTCTTATATAAATCGCTCCTTCAACCTCATGTGTTGGCCAACCACCTGCTCAGCCGACCCAACTCGACCCAACTCGACCCTTCGACCCTTCCAGGCCCAGCTTTCGCGGCACCACACCTCTCTGCGCAGCGTGTCTCAACAGCCGCTCGGCGGTCTCCGCGGTCGGCGACAACGCGGGTCTCCGAAGGAACGGTCTTGGGGTTTCACGGGAGTGTTCGGTGAGATCCAAAGGTTGGGGTGTTGACAGTGGTGATACACCAGAAAACAGGTTGGTATCTGAAAGTCCTCACATGGTGGTGTTTTTGGGGGGGCAACAGTTTCAGGACAGGTGAGGCCCAGCCTGATAGCATTCGACAGTTCAGCCCAAGCCATGCAAGTGATGCACCTCCCCCAAAAGAATCGATTCAGTGATTCAGTGTCCAAACAATGGGTCAAAGACGCTTTGGAGGGTCAAGGCAGTATCTACTTTGAGTGTTTGGAGGTTTGGGTGACCTAGAGTAGGTGATTGGTGTGCCAACTGGACCATGTCACCAGATCATTGCTCTTCTTGTCCGAGACTTGTCTGAGAACGCAGATGTTTGCTAGACTAGACCTTTCCAAGTCTTTGCGTGGCTGATGCTAGTGATAAGATATGATAAGATGACCAGACCTCAGCCCCCCCTAAGAAACTCAAACAGCTCAGTCTACCTTGCCCTTTCCGACCCGTTTTAGGCCATGTGGAAGTGGTGCGCTTGCTGTTGGAGCGGGGCTGCCACAGCGATCGCCCTGCTCTGCCGGAGGAGTTGCCGCGGAGGTTGGAGCTCCTCCAGGTCTTCGACGCGGGCGTCAAGCGGCGGCGCTGGGCCTAGTGATCGGAGACTGGGCTTAGTGATCGGATGTTCTTTTGGAGCCGCAAATGGGTATCCTCTAAGGGACATGTAGCACAGTACCCAGCGGCAACGTCTTTTTTTCGAGATGTCAGCGACAAGCTGTCCTGTGGTCGTTCCACACGAAGCAGAAGCAGCTGACATGAGATGCGCCATCCGGAATCCGGAAAAGTGGCTCCCTGCTGCGTGTCCGGAGTGTCGTCCGGGTATTTGGAGAAAAAACATACGAGGAACCGAGGAACCAGTACCTGGCACCAGGGTGAGATTGACACATTTTTGATCATATTTGCAAGAAGCTACTAGTAGCTCCTGGCATTGCTAAGACACAAGGCACGACCCATGCAGGGATACAGGGAGCTTCCACGGTGCAGCGGCGACGTCCGAACGGGTCTGTTCTGCTCCTTCAGCCGGTCGTCCGAAGCTTCGTCAGCTGTAGAGTTTGAGTCGTCTGTGCTTTTGTCAGCTGTAGCGATCCGTCAACTCCAGTGAAGCGTCGTGGTGAAACACGGAGACTACACCAAAGGAGTTGGCATGAGTACCGAACGGATTCGTTCTTTTTAAATACAGTGCATCGAACGGACCAAACAGCAACACCCGCTGTAAGTCCAAGAGTCTGCACATGCATAGGGCCAAGGTGACTGTTTCGAGCGGGCAGTGGTCAGACTCTACAGTGTTTCAAGGTCAACATGTCCCAACAAAACCGCTCGGAGCACTTCATCCCGAAATCCTTCAACACTTGTTGGGGGCCTCCCAACTCCGACGCACGACATGTGTCATCCCGTTTCGCTGTTCTTTTGAAAGGGGTTCGCCCTTGGCCTCCCCCAACCCCAAACGACCATCCCGAAACGGTCTCGGTGCTCCTCGGCAGGTCGGCTGAAGAGCGGCCCGAACCGGTCTCGGTGGAGAAAACGGGGGGCGGAGAGGGCGGTCCCGGTGTCTTCGCCCGAACGGTGGCGGCGGCACGAAAAGAAAGCTGAAGAAGATCACTATCTAGCTAGATATCATGTTAGTTAGATAGTTAGATGTGATATGCTGTGAGATATGTGTTAAATTGTGTTTACTAAACATTTGCACCATGCAATGGTCCTTCCAAGACCTTCGAAAGCAGATCCTTCAAGGGGGATGGAGAAATGCAGATTCCACGGGCGGAGTCGTACCGGCAGAGTCTTCTGATGGTACCGAAGACCCGGTCTGGCGTGACAGCACATGAACATCTGCAGCGAAAACTGGTGGAGACTCTCTCCAATTGTGCATGTCTTTTTTTTTTTTTTTTCTCTCTCTCTCTCTCTAAGAAGTCCAACATTTCAATGCAATTCACATGTTCAGTTCCACACAGGTGAACAACCCCGTAGTGTTTTGGGTGACTCTGTTTGCGCTGCCCGATCAGCTCCACGTGAGCTCCACGCAGCCGGCATGTGAAACATGCATATGACCGGTACAATCCGGTGCAGTCTCGGGGACTGAACCGACGACGCATTGGTGCACCCTCTACGGCCACCAGACTTTATATACCTATATGTTGCACTCTCTGTGGCTCACAGTGTTCTCTTCCACTGCAGAGATGATAGCTTCAACATGATTTTGTTTTCTAGACCATGAATTGATGGCCTTCCCGGTCGACTCGAAGAGTTGCGAAGCGAACGAAAGACAAACATCAAGGCGCAGATGAGACTACCAGCTTGCAGCTTCCACTGTTGCACGGCGCATGCGCAAAGCGGAACTCTTCAGTCCGCAGGAGGTGCCCCAAGTGCCAAGACGAAGCCAATCACACGACCCACATGTGATAGAAGGATTCCTTCCGGTCATTGATTGAGGAGTTAAACCCTAACTCAGACTCCATCAAATTCCTTCGCTACATGGCCTTTGTGCCTAGTGCGGCAGAAGGACATGGTTTCAGATACTTATTCAGATGCTTAGTGTAGTTTGGGGCCCCTTTCGGGCCCCACAACCACCACAACGAAAGACCAACCAAAAACAACACAGACTGTTGCATGTGAGGTTGGTATGGCACTCACTTCATGGTATGATGGAATGGACTGTCTTGTTTCATCGGTGTTCTTTCAACAACCCCCAAAACCCCAGGAGTGTCGTGTGGTGTTGCCTCCCCACCCCACCGCCGCCATGGAGCTGGCGGCGGCGCTGGCGGGCTGCGGCGTGAGTCGCAAGCAGTGTCGACAACTGCGAGGCGAACTGCGGCTGGAGGAGGAGAGGTGGCTGGAGGAGGAGTGGGTAGGTTTGGTGAGGTAGGTACCTGGCAGGTCTTTTGGTTACTGGCAGAGATATTTTAATGGTTGCTGAACAGACGGACAAGGCCAGGTCCAATCCTGTTGATATGTCATATATAGTTGTATATATATATAGGGTTTGTCCTATTACCTGCAACAGTCAGTAAACAATTATCACCATCTTTGAACAAGGCCTTTACTAACCATCATCATCCACTGGGCCCAGGAATAGGATAGAATATAGATTGCTCCCCACCTTGTCCCACCATAGACACCAGTACTGCTGACCGTTGAGTGGGGGTGTCTTCTGAGTCGTGATTCAAGAGTAGGCACACCGTTTTGCAAGATGACCGGTCACCGGTAAGTTCTTTTTCACACCACACGTTTGGTGCAAAAACGGCCGTCTTAGCTTTGAAGAACCGTGCGAGCTGTGAACTGCTGCGCGGCGCCACCACGCAGCAGCTGAGTGAGGACACCTTCGAGGGCCTCCACCGACACTTTCGGCACGACCAGCGCCGAGTGGAATCGGCTCTTCGGCGGCTCCTCCCGCAGGGGGAGGAGGCGGGAGGTGATTCTGGTCGTTGCAAATCCGTTTACAACGAAGGTGACGATGCAGCTCGCTTTTCCTAGTAGTGATTCTGGTCCTGCTAGATTGGTGGAGCAGAAAAATCTGAGTTCCGCCCAGTGGTCGATTGGTTTTGCCATTTGGATTGGGGTGCTTTGTAGTGGTGAAGAGGCTGGTACCTGCGCCATTGGGGAAACTCTGGAACACGTCGAGAATAGTGTAATGACTGGAAAGTCAGGCATGCCATTGTCTATTTCTGTTCTGGGACAATCTGGGACGGACTTCCAGGGAGCGAGTAGGTCGCTGGTTTGGACCTCCGCTCTCCGACGTGTGGCGTGATGGAGGTCATTCAACTGTTGGAGTCTTGCGAGGAGCGGCCGGATTTGATAGGCCTGGTGGGCGGTATGGGAAGAAACAGAAGTCCAAACATCTCTGGTCCCAGCAAAGCCACCAAACATCAGTGAGGTTTCGCCTTTTCTGATGGCCCCATGGAAGAAAAAGCGCAGTGCAGGATTTTGCATGGCGCTCGTTCCGCGGTTTTCAGTGGGACCCTCCTTTCCAAGAACAACTACTGTGCTTGGATGAAACTGTCTTTGTTGAGGCATCACAAATCCTTCGGTGGTGAGGAAGGGTGTAGCTGAAGGTTCATTCAGTTATAGTCAGTATATGTCAGTATATGACTAGGGTCTGTCCTATTACCTGCAACAGTCAGTAAACAATTATCACATATTATCACTATTTTTGGACAAGGCCTCTACTAACCATCATCATCCACTGGGCCCAGGTAATAGGATAGACCCAAAGTATGACATGGATTCGAAGATGGAGGAAAGCCCGCTGCCAGCTTCCCCGCTTCGTGTCCTTTGAGCTCGGAAACGTGGATGAGCGGCCAAAACAACTCGAAGGTCTTGACCTGCTCCGTGCCAAATTGTCACCGACCGTTGCTTCTGCATGATCAGGCGAACCGGACAGATTTTCAATCCAATCACCCCTTCCCTTCATAGCGGTTACTTTTAGGTCAATCCCTTCCCTTCCATTGATCCAAACCTTGGACCGCGGTCAACAAGCAGCGCCTCTGTGTCCTTGCCCCACCCAGCTCGTCCAGCTCGCTCAGGCACTTGGGAGGAACCCAGCGCGCCCAGCGTGCCCGGGCGCGCGCCGAGCACCGCGGCGGCGGCGGCCGGCGCCACGGACGAGCTGCGAGAGGCACGTCATGGGCTGTGAGAAGATGTGGGGCGAAGGGTTCTGGGATCGTTTCCAGAAATGTTCCGTTCTTCAAGAAGTACACCCAGACACTCCATGGGACTGGCACATGAATCCAGACAGGGGTGGTTGAAAGGGGGTCAATGGGGCGGCAGTCTGGCATCCAAGGGATATGACGTACCTCTATAGATTTGGAGATTAGGCCCCGATTCACAACCTCCTTGCCGCCGCCCTCCGATTTCCAGGTCTGGGGCGCGCTGCCACGCCTGCAGCTTGGAGAATCCATGTCCCAGGCCACGGAGAGACGGAACGCGCCACGGGACGCGCGGTGTTTTACATCGAACGCCTGAGAAAGGCCTCGCAGGTGCCACAAAAGATTCTACAAATCAGCTAAAATCATATAGACAATCAGGTATTGGCATCCAATGTCCAATCCATAAATCCAGCTTTAGTTCTCTTTTTTTGTTCTTCCTTCTCCGTTCCGGAAGGCGGGGGGGGTCTGTGATTGGATCGACCAATATCATGTTAGTATTCTAGCGCGACGGGGCCGAGTCACAGTCTCCAGGTCAAATGCAACGGGCGACCTCTTTATTATATATATATATATGTATACTATACCTAGAACCTCATTGACCCCCTGTTCTGGAGACCAAACATGGTCTTTTCATATCAAAAAGCAGGTCAAAGGGGTTCTAGGTATATATATATATATAACATTATTTATATACACATGTATACGATTAATCCTCTCAAACCCATTGGTTAGCCCTGATGGATGCGGACTCCCCGCAGGCCGCAGCCCGGTGATCGGACTCAAAGGCAACAGCATGCGCCGGCATGCATGGCTCAAAGGCAACAGCTCACCTTTTCACGGAGAAATCCACCTTTTTTGTGAGATAGGCATTGGACCTGTGCGACTGGTGTGGCATTTCCATGACTCCCGAGACCACCTCCACCCCCCCCCCCCAGAGGCCTGGGATGCCACGACTCCCGAGCCTCCGCGGGTCCTGTCGGCAGGGGCACGAGGAGCGGGGCCGCGCGCTGCGGCGGCGCCTGAAAAGCCTGGATGCCTCGCAGCAGGCGGTGCTCAAGGCACAACAGACGCAGCTCCGCGCAGCAGGCCGGTGCCTCTGAAATCTGGCATGAGTTGGGTGGAGGACTGGAGGAGCACTGGAGGAGGACTGGGGGCATGTTCTTTTTGTTGTGGGCAAGCCAGCAGTCTGTATTGCGAGGATTCTGAGGTGTTTAGTGGTGTTTATATACATGTTTTTGCATTTCTTTTTGGTCATGTCACGGGCTATTTTCTGTAGTTCTGTGTTTTTGACTTTTGAAGGAATTTTAGAGGAATGCATCAAACAAGCACGGGGATGGGAAGAAGAAAAGGATAGGACCTTTAGGAAAGGAGGCCAGTCAGAGGTGCTGCTTTTCTAAAAGCATGTTCAGACTTTGATTCGCCCAGGTTGACTTTTTTTTTGGCACAGGGCTTTTGATTCTTTTTGTTGTGCATAGAATTCACAAGGATTAGCATCTACTTCAAAAGAGACGGTTCTCTTTGAAAAAACATCGAACATCTTCTCAAGCGGAATCAAGTCTGGGTAGATCAGCTCCCGCGAACAAATTAGCCATCAGCAACACCCTTTAATATTATAGTCAAAGCATGAGTGAAGAACATGAACGGAACAAACACCCAATGTCAACAAGCAACAAACTGCAAAACAATGACACTAGTAACAAGTGCATTGCTACTAGTAACAAGGGCATTACTACTGGTAACAAGAAAGCTAGTAAGACAGTTCCCCTGTCCTCACCCTTCTCACTGTCACCTTCGGAGGAATTGTCCTGTCTTCCTCCAGGCGCTGCCGGTGCGGAGGAGTACCTCACCAATGTCTGGAGCTTGCTGCAGACGACCGAGCGGCGCGTCGAGTGGATGGTGGACTTGATCGCTGCGCAGGTGGACCCGAGCTCCAGCGAGTTCGGCGTCCGGCGCGTGGGATGCCGCGGCCGCGGCCGTGGATACGCCGCGCGAAAGCACGGCGAAAGGTGTGACACAGAGGTTTGGTCGGGTGCAGTCGCTTTTGGGATACCGGGTGCCTTATTTTTCACTATACCAAAAACTTGGCAGGAAAGTAGCCACCACTGAAAAGCCAAGCAGCAAAGCAGCCACCACAAAAAACCAGGCAGGAAGGTAGCTACACACCAAAAGCCAGGCAGGAATAGCCACCACACCAAAAACAAGGCAGCAAAGTAGCCAACACACCAAACGCTTGACAGCAAAGTGGCCGCCACACTAAAAGCCAAGCAGGAAAGTATAGCCACCACCTGACAACCCAGGCAGGAAAGCAGCCACCACACCAATAGCCACCACACCGAAAACCAGGCGGGAAAGTAGCCACGACACAAAAAAACCAGGCAGGAAAGTAGACAACCAGGTAAAGCACTCAAAAACATAGAAGGACAGTATGACCTGGTCTTAGGTGAAGTGGCTACGTTCCTGCTTGGGCTTTGGTGAGGTGGCTACTTCCCCTTGCTTTTGGTGGTTTTGTGTGTGGGGGGGGGGGGGCAATGGCGACAAGGGTCCCAAATATGATTCCAGGTTCCCCAAAGCTGTGGAGCTATCCGGGTGCCCCTAACTAAGCCTCCAGCGGTCCGCGGCATCTGAGTATATTCCGGCATCGGCGTTCCGTTCGGAACATCGCCACAGCTGAAAAACCAGGCAGGAAAGTAGCCACCACACCAAACAGTTGGCAATCAAAAAAGCAGTGAAAAAGATTGATGGGGAGAAAGCAGTGAAAAGTGAAGTTCGTGGCAGCTTTGCCTTTGACTTGCGCTTGGATTGCACCTCCTTTCAATTTCGTTCCTGTCAAGTACTTTCACTATCCCACGGCCCATCACGGCCCAGTCACATGTAACCGGTTTTGCAGACCTCTTGCTTTGAGAACGTTTTAAAGAAGTGCAAGTATATATTATTCCCAACAACTCACCACGGTCAGAATAGTTTTCACATGTTTTCACGAAGTGAGGTCGATGTATAGCGGAATACAATTGTTCAGGGCACCCTGACGGTGGTTCTCCCTTAAGGCACGGGGTATCTTTCTGGGCCTCGTGTGGAAGCCAACGGAACGGATGAAAGGACACGCACACAGTTCCAAGCTCCTGCAGTGGGGGGGTCGTGTGTTGGGAATCGGAGTTGGAGGTCAGTTGTGGTGCTGGTGGCGGCCTATTTTTGCATGTAGACTGTGGATGAAGAAGTTGGATTCTAAAGGAAGATGCCACCGGAAGCATCATCCCAAGTGATGATGTGGAGCTGCCGGACGGGGAAAAAGGCGAAGGTGGGCCATCCGGCACGGGGTGTGGCTGCTAGCTATTTAGGCTTGTCAGCATTTGTTCAGCCTTATGCTGGACAGTAGCGCTTGGTCAGGCGTGCTGTAAGTTAGTGGCTCTCGCCCTTAAGAGACCCGACGTTTGGTTTCAGGTTTTGCAGGCCAGCAGCATTATACGGGCACGTCAATACATGCTATTTCCTCGTCGCCCTGATTCTTGTTATATTCATTTTTGCACGGCGTTGCAAGTTGGTCTGACATGTGAGTAGATAGGATTTGCACTGCGCGGTCTGACTGTCGGCGTGCTTTTCTAAAGGTCCAGTCTGCGGAACCTGGAGTAGCCGCCTCGCACGCGCAGATCTTTGTTCTTGTGGCCAGCCTTTCCGTAGCAGGACACGTGGGCTTGGACCGTGTCGGCTTGGGGCCTTTTGGCATCACGCCACGATGTTTTCGGCACCGGCTGCTTGTAAAATTTACTGAGAGAGACCTTTTCAGACAATTCCTGACAACTCTTCGACGGTCTACGGAAGCCGTAGGCAAAATTGGACGAAGGGAAGTGCAGCAGTCAAAAATCACCATCCATATAGGTAGCACCCTACTGATGCCACATGCCTTTGGAGAAAGAACAAGGTGCCAAAGTACTCCTAGTACTCGTGGCATCAAAGGTCAAAGTTTGGAGGCAGACATTCCTCATGAAAACCATAATCCTTCTCCCAAAGCCATTGACGTAAGAACCATGGGAATATTGAACGCGCCTCACCACTCCCAAGCATCAATGATGCCGCAGACCTCGGAACTGCAGCGCGCTTTGCGCCGCGCCCTCGAACGCCGTGCTTTGCCACCTTCCACGCTGCTGGCGTGTGAGTCCCGTGCTGTGCGTGCAAAGGGAGAACTGCTAACTTTGCCGGAGGCAGATTCCGGTTTCGCTTTTATTTTTGTGCCCTCGCAAGTTGTGAAACCTTGAAACTCGAATTGTCCTGTTTGGTCTGAGGCGTACCTCCTCCAAAGTTTGTCGTTCTGCACCTGTGCCGAGCTTTGTGCCTTGGGCGCGGCAGGAGCGCAGCTGCAACGGCTTTGTGAGGAAGATGTGCTGTGGTGCTTGCATTGGGCAAAATGGCGGTTGCCAGGACAGGTGCCCAACAGCGAGGTCAGGAAAGAGGGACGATTGCACCGTTTATTTTTTGGTGCTGCATCAACCAATGAATCATTTGTACGTACTACAGTGACCATTTGTTTTTGTTAAGTAGCCCTGTCAGGTCCGGAAACATTTCCTGATGATGCTCGCCACTCAATGTGTCGAACCCCGGCGGCGCTGAGCCCTGCAAGACTCTCCATGGTACGACCATGGGTATACATAGATGGAAACACTTACAATCACAGGATGCCCCCCCAGAAAGAATGAAAGGGATCTATGTTTCGCACCTCGGACAAGTCACCTAAACCCCGAACATCCCAGCGACGCTTTGGCCCTGTTCAACACATTCTTTGGGGATCGGCCGATCTCTCATCGTTGGCCTTCCTCGCGGTGTTCGACTCGGATCGGGGCCGATCGCGGTGAAGTCGAAGCAACACACCGGTGACCAAGTCCAGACGCTGCACCAAACCCATGACCCATGACCGATGGACCCATGCGCCACTTCCAGGCGGTTTTGTGAATTGGCCACCTTCGCGCGATCAGGGTATGAACTACTTGACCCACACACATATGCATGTGTACATCCTGTTTTGAAGGCAAACACTGTACCTGGTTTTTCACATGTTTTTGGCTGCGCAGCACACCGCTCCTTTTCTCTTCCATCCTCACCCTCCTCATGATTCCTCATCCTGACAGGCAAACTAAAACAATCGGGATGAATCTCAATTGATCACCCACCCCAAAATCCTCCCATCCGATTCGCCTGCCATTTCCACCTTTCTCGCACCCGCCCACACTGTTTGTGCCCTGCTGCACCTTGCATTTTGCGGCACACACACTGTCTTTCTTTCTTTCTTTCTATCTATCTGTCTATCTATCTATCTATCTACCTATCTATCTATCTATCTATCTAACTAACTAATCTATCTATCTATCTATCTGTCTGTCTGTCTGTCTATCTATCTATCTATCTATGTATCTATCTATCTATCTATCTAACTAATCTATCTATCTATCTATCTACCTATCTATCTATCTATCTATCTATCTATCTATCTATCTACTTTTGCGCCGAGGAATGTGGTGCTTTGACGGACTTCGAACATGCCATCCTGGGCTGCCGCCTCTGTGAGGCTTGCGAGCGAAGCCACAGCCGCTACGCGCTCATCAGGACGGAGTCCGGAGCACCGGTCGCCACCGGCGACGGCACCGGCGACGGCTGTACCGGTGGTGCTTCACTTCGCGTGCTTTTTTGGGGTTCAGAAGGAGAGGACGAGGGAAGAGACGTCGAAAGCAAAGAATGAGAGGAATGAATGCACGTAAGTAGGGCAAACAGTTCGGGACATTGGCAGAGGTTTGAAGCTTGTTTTGGTGTAATGTAAGACTAAGATCTATCCACTCCAACATCGTGAAAATCAAAGATCCACGGATTCGGGATGAACGCCCCCAGTCCAATCGCCACTTCCACCAATCTTGGACTGCGAATTCCAGCAGTTCTAGTTCCATCCTGCCAGCTTGCAAACAGGTTTTCAGCTTCAGCTCCACCCCAGGAGCAGCTTGGCCATCCGCGAATTCCAGCTGCCTTTATCGGCCATGCAGCAGCTGCCGGGCGTCGATGGCTCCACGGGCCGCGTGTTTTTGCGCTCCATGGTGCAGCAGCTGGCGGAACGGCAACATACTCAGGTCTGGAGTCCAGGGGAGTTTTGGGTTTTGAGGGATTCTTGGGAGGGAGAAAACAACTTGGACAAGTAGAGGGATGATAGGGCTGCCATGTTTAGGATGTTTTTCCCAAAATCATTTGAACTGAATGATCTTTCCATTTCTAGAAAACTGGTGACCTCAGGTTTCCGCCTAAGTAGAGGTCTTTTTCTTCAGTCGCCTAAGCAGAGGGCTTAGTAGCGAGCGAGTCCGTCCCACAAAGGACTCAATAGGACGGACCTCTCTTTGCGAGTGGTTTCAGATTAGATATGGCACGTTTTCCCCTTGATGTCCTGTCGACAGATGGGGGTGCACGACTAAACCACCGACCTAGAGGGGGCCCAGGAGAGCCCTTGGTCCTCGCCGTACAGACGACGTCGACGTCGGCGACCGAAGCGGACATCGACGGACATGACAACGTCTCGGGACTGACGACCATGGCGTCAAAAGGCCGTTGGACTGACGACGGTTTTTGGACTTCTCAGAAAAAAAGACAGCTTAAACATAAGGTGCTTTATGATGGCTTTTAAGGCCTATTTGGAATGGCCAGCATCCTGTGACCTCCAAATTCCGAAAGCCAGAAAGAACACCACGATCGCGCTCCGATCTCCGCTCCGCTCTCCGCTCCGATGTGGGTCGCATCTGATCCGTGGAGACTTTGCACAGAACAAATGTGAAGCAAAGAAGACTATACGTTGCTTTCCTATAACTCGGACGTATGTTTTTTTTCCTCCTTTGGACGCACAATGAAACCACATTGAATACACAATTCTTCTCTCAACGACTGTGTGCGGCTTTTCATGCTCTTGACTCAGGAGAGCTTGCAACAACTTCGTGCCAAGAACGACATGGGCTACACCTCCTGCGGCCGCCGCAGCGAGCGCCAGTCGCGCAGGCGACGGGATTCGATGGGCGAACCGGTGTGGACGGTGGTGGATTTCCCCAAGGGTTCGGCGTTCGGGGCAGGTGATGAGTTGAATCACTTCCAGGGGCCCAGTGTTTTCATCCATTTCTTCGAGGATGGATGAGGGTTTGGCCCTTGGATTGATTTTTCTATAGAAGATTCACTAGGTCCTGTGGCTTGTTAGATCTTAGATCTGTAAAGCAATTTAAGAGACTGATGAACGGTAAAGATCAGTTTTGACATCTGTTCCTTCCCTGTGGTGCCACAGAATTGGGGATAGGTCAACCTGGAGCCCCAATTCACCCTGTGACCTTCCAGGTAGGTCAGGTACCTTGTTTTAACATGTTTTGACCCATTGCCATATACTATCTCTACGTTCTCTTCTGCCACTTCAGCTGATTTCCGGTGTAGCTCCCATGGGAGACCGAACCGCTGGCGGGGTTGAAGCCGCACCCGGGCAGGCCGGGCTTCGGGGGCTGTTCGGTTCGCCTGGCCCTGTAGACTGGGTAGACTGGTCGGCCCTCTTCCAAACCTTATGAGTGCGGAACGTCGCCGCTTCGGTCTCCCTATTGAAGACACACCCAGGTCTGGCGACTTGCGGTTCGGTCCAGTCGTCATGCCCCGTCTTGCTGACACCCACAGCATCATGCAGTTGGTCACCGGGGTTCTTGCCTTGCTTGGTCACCGGTGGATCTCCCCGAAGCAAACGGTGCCAAACCGAAAAGCACAGGAACGCTGCTGGAGCACCGAGGCCTTCAAAGGAGTCTGGCATCGCGGGCATGGGGATGGATTGATGTGTAGGCCTGTCAAAGCTCCAAAGGAGTGGGTCAAGAGTCAAGAGAGAATCATTCCGACTCACAACGTTTTCTAAGAACCATGTTGAAACGTCTCTCTCTCTCTCTCTCTCGTGACCCACCCCTTTTGAGGGGGAATAAATGGATTTTTTGGGCTGGGGTGGGCTCTGGAGGGCTTCTGTATCACTCAAGGTGTTTTCCCAGGCGCTTAGAAGGAGCAAGGAATAAGTGATTGGATTGATGGACGGATGGATCGGTTGCTTGCTTGCTTGATTGAATGGCGAAAGAAACATGACTGTAATGATACCGTAGTGATTTTGTGGGGAGACACAGCATTCACTTCTCTTGCTGCTGCCCAATGCGACGGTGCCAGGACAGCGACCCGTGTTGCTTCGAAGCTACGGCGCTCCGCCGTGCGGATCAGACCGACGTGCCGTCGGCTGCGCCGTGCCGTGGGCCGCAGCCGAGGGGGTTTTCAGAGGGATGGATTTGGAAGTCAGGTCGTAGGTCCTATCATGTCCAATGGATTTCCCGTTGGAGCTAATTACCAAGTTTAGCAAGTTTAGCCGGCGGATGCCGGCGGTAGGGGTTGTACTACTTGCAATTCCAACATAATATAGTATCTCTTTTTGATGTTTCCAGGACCCAGTCTCACCTCAGTTCGTAGTCCTTGATTCTTAGTCCCTACTAAGCATCAAGATGCACAGTTGAGGCGCTTTTGCTTTGAGACTGTGAACGTTTGGCAGCACTGGACAATCTCACGCATGTTTTTTCAAAGTGTCCCCTCAATTTCCAACAAATCCTTGTGAACCCGTGACTCCTTCAACACGACTCCAAATCAGGCGCAGCACGTGCTATCCGTGCGCAGCACGTGCTATCCGTGTTTGACATTTGATGTACGCCCTCCCTTTGTTGACCGGCCCTTCATTGGACTCCTCCCGGCCCTGAAGCCCCCACGACTCCCGGGAGGAGGCGTGACGAGGATCCTTCGCTACCCAGGAGCCTTCGGAGGAATTGGTTCAAAAGGCGTCCGTGAGACAAGACAGACATGCAAATGAGCGCCAATTGCACATGTTGGTCGTAGAACTTAGATGATACCACGATGATGTTTGTGATTCTTTAAGAGAAACAAATCAGTTTCAACATTTTTCAGTAGACTATTGGCCGGATGCGATGCCATGCTTGTATTATAGATGCAAGCATGACATTTGGCCACCTGCACCTCTAGAGTGAGCGTGGGGCAAAGTACGGGTCCACATTCCACCCGGACCCAGCCGGAACTGGATCAATGAACCCCTTTTAATAGGTGGAGGTGGAGGTGTGTTAGTCCTGTAGTCCAACGTCAACCAAAGATGATCAAATATGTAGAAGTGCAGATGACCACCATGCATACCAAGCTCCCGACGCCATTTGAGAGAGTATAAAGACCCCCCCATGTAAGAAATTTTTATTCGCAGGTCCGTTTTTCTGGAAGCATGCTCAATCCTTTGTAAAACGAAAAGGAAGAAAACACATTATAACCCAGTGGAAAACCCTTGACATGCGAGAAGTGGTGTGAAGAAAACGTGTGCACACACACAAACAGAAACCCTACCACTGTTCCAAAATTGTCAAGGTCAATGCATGACTGGTCTTGGTGGGTATGTGCTTGGACAGAGGTGGGAGGGCTTGGACCGCTGTAGCCTTGTGCTACAGCATTGTTGTGCCACATTGCTTTCCAACTTGCACCAGGCATGAACACGATAACACGACGAAAACAAAAACGATAACACAGCGAGCCGAAAACACCTTTCCGTGGGCAGGCCACCTGATGGGTGTAGTTGGAATGAAGTGTGCCTAATGTCTTCATGCCTGCAAGGTTCCACACACCACATGCATGTAGTACACACTATACATTATATAAACTACTTTTGTTGCAGTTAGTCGAAGTGCAGTAAAGCGATGAAGGAAAAAAACACGATATCGGCAAACTAGTGGCATAGGGAAAGATAGCAGGCAGGTTTTATTTACACCACCTCACTTCGGCTTGACCATCCCCCGATGCCACGAGACACGTATGCAACCCCACGGCTCGACCGACGGCAGGTAAGCTCTTCCTCCCTCTTTCGGCTGAGCCAGACCAGAGCTTCGCCCAAAAAAGGAGCGCCGAGGCAGTTGAGCTCTGGGGGGGGGCGAAATGGAGCTGAGCTGCGAGCTCAGCTGAGCTTGATTTACTGCCCCTAGCCTTGGATGTCAATACGGTCCCTTTTCCAGCGCTGTTTTCCGGATGAGCGTTTGATGACACAAACCTCTTGCACTTCGTGCTCTTCACAGGTTTTGGGTGTGATCTAGGAGAGTGAATCTTGCCCAGATGTTCAACACCCTGCTATGTGCTTAGAGTAACGCAATGAACCTTCGTTGGCGTCGATGTCCCTAACTCCATCCTGAAGTTGATTCAGTTCTGAAATCCTTCCGTAGTTGTATCCTGCGACAGTTCTGTGTTCCAAATCTCTGTGTTTTGGAGGCACCACCTTGCTCTTGGCGCTCGAAGACGCCTCAGGGTAAGTCTAAGATAGTCAAAGGTCCAGGCTAAGCACAAACATGTGCCAATGTTTCCAGGGAAGAGATCAGGTGTTGTGGCAACGTACAGCGAACTGCGCACACCATTCGCTGATGGGCGTGCTTTTTGGGGGCGCTGAGTGTCCAAACAATGTCTCCACACGGCCATTTTAGGCCCTTTCGGCCAGCCATCATGGTTAAGAGACCTGTCATGCAAGTCACCTGGACCGGTCCATTCTTCCATCTTTGTTTCTTCCATCTTTGGCAGCCATGATCTGTGCTGCAAAAGATGGCCCGGAGGTCAAATGCTAGTTGTTTCAGACTTCCAAGATATAGCCCCTTTGACAGATAGCACTGGTGATCCACCCAGAACGCCGCTTGGATTTGGCCGAAGCCATTTGGATCGAAGAATCATCATGGCCTTGTGATTGAAAAGGCAGAGCTGTTCGGAGCACAAAAGGTTTGAGCCTTTAATAAGATATGTTCTTTGCCAGACACGTCATGTATATATATATATATAGAGAAGGCCATTGCTGTCCCCCCCCACCTGGCTTGGCCTTTGGCTTCCTGAAGGATCACCAAGCCAAGCTGTTCATCCCGGTGTCATACCTGCGGGTGAGTGGACCTCCTTCATGTCTCGGACGTCCGAGTCTCCTCATGCAATGTCTTACACCCACACACCGACCGAACCACTGGTCAGGGACCGACCTGGAGCGGACACCCCAAAGAACTTCCGAAAGAGCATCCAATCCATCGCTGTTCTCAGCACAACTTCCTTTAGCTAAGAACACAGCACCTTCTCAGCACCTTCAACAGCACATCTTCCGCTGCTGTTCGCTGCTTTTCGATGGAGCCCCTCGGCTTCTTTCTTCCGCGCGGCGAAAAAAAACACCTCTTTCGTGTTGCTGGGTTGCTGGCTTTCAGGTCCTGAAAGCCTCGAGTTTGGGGGGGGCGAATGGATGTGGGTCATGGCACTGGTCGGAGACCGAGCTGGGGCACACACCTACGGACGATCGTCCGTCGTGGACTGGTCGGGCTCCAGGTGGGTGGACTGACCCCTTTGAAGTACCCCGTTTCCGCACCCCTCGTACACGGAAAGGCTTCTGGAAACTTTTTGTTGCCGACCCATCAAACAGAAGCACCAAAGTTCGAAAAAGACAGTGCACCGGATGATGTGAAAATACGGTCTGTTCCACGAGGTGGCCAAGTCAAGCCTAGCCTAGTCATAGGTTGACCACATCGCTAGTGGAAGCGTTGAGAACTTTTGGAAGCGTTCACTTGCAACGTTCTTTCTCTTGCAACGTCTCAATGCTCCCCATACTGGACCGCAAGATTAGCACGTTGGATCGCAGAGTGGATGAGATGAAGGAATTCTGGTCTCCTCTTGACGAGCTTCAATGGATTGGATCCTGAACAGGAGCTTCAAACTCTTCATTCTACCAGCACCTTTCAGCTTGCATGCTGATTTAAAGATGGGGACACCTAAGATTCTGCCCTAATTATTGACGTAGAAATACGTAGAATGTGGTTTCATGATGGTAGCACTCATTTTGGACACTCGGATTTCCCTCTTTCCTTTCATTCGTCTTCCCATTCCTCCTCCCTCGTGGACCGCGCGAACCCGCCCCGGCTGTGCTGGGCTTCCGAAGGCGTTTGCTGGGCTTCCTTTGCGCACTGTGCGCTGCCGTGTCCTTTGGGATCCAGTGGGGGAGCCCGAGAAGGAAGGTAAAAGGAGGCGATGTGGCCATGGTCCTGCTGTCATGATGTCATCTGAAACAGACTGTATTTCGTAGATCCGACACGAAATTTGAGATGGTGAATGCTGTGCACCTTCGTTCTCCTCCTCCTCCTCCTCCTCCGTCTTTTTGTAATAAGTCTTGGGCGGAAGATAGTTCCCAGAGATGAGAATATGTCGCAAACTGCACAAGCTTCTCCAAATCCCTGCGACGAAGCCAACTTTCGCTTCCCATCGCATTCCCCCCATCTCTTGATAAAGTGGTCCACGCCTGTTCCAACCAGAACTCTCTTCCTGCACCTTCCTTGCGCCTCACCCGTGATACACGGACTATATGATCCCTGACCATGACGGACACTGGAAACCCCCGCGCGGAGCGCCTGAGGTATGTGCCGGTGAAGAAGTACGAGATCTTCGATGGTGTGACCTTTCAGTGGTTCATGTGCGGCGGGATCTTGATGGTGCCACCCTCAGGGACCGACCTTGAGTTCTTTTCTGGTGTTAATCTTTTTTCCCGCGGAGAGAGGTTGTTGGGATGGTCTTTTTCTCTCCTGAACATTCCCGTGACTCCTCAGGCTTTGATGGGTTCAAGCCAACATCATAGCCAGATTAAGATGTCAACAGTAGGATAACAAGGGCCTTGAGCAGTTTGAAGGGGCCACGCCATGCTTTGCCTCTGGAAAAAAAATCCTTTGCCACTCCGCAGCCGCTCGTGCGGCGTGCGTGGCGGGGGAGGAGACCAACGCCATGGGCGTGTCCAGCAGTTTTCCAACCCCTACTAGGATTTTGGGGTATTCTATCTGTTGCCCAGACGCTCCTGGACCCTCATATGCATGGGTCGGACCCTCATTTGGAGGGGCCTGGACCCTCAAACCCCCATAATTTTGAGGGATCAAGGGCTGTTTGGAGCGTCTGGGTGAGTCGGCATTTTTCAATATTCTATCTACTTCTTACTTATAGTATTCTTCCTAATGTCGACGTCAGATGTCCTGAGATGCAGCGCATCTCGGATTCTAAGCCGCTGATTCGCATCCAGAGATGTGTGGGATCCGTTTCTTTGTTTGCACAAGATGGTAACCTTATAGGGTCAACATGGAGAGGAACATATCACATGTCTCCTACTAGTTACGTGTCATTAGCATATACAGCCATAGAGCATGAACCTTCCACACTCCACGACCATTTTCCTTTAGAGTGGCCATCTTCATCCATCTTCCACATCTATTCAATGAGTAATCTTCACATAGGGACACACCTTCAGCACTATTTCGTCGCCCTGTTTCCTCGCCCTGTGTTTGAGGCGGGTTTCTGCTCTTCCGTCATCTTTGGCCGCTGGGCACAAACAAGAGAAGAGGGAACATCAGGGTGCTGGGAAATATGGGACTCCAAACCTCCAGCACAGTGTCCAGGATGCACAGACGGATTGTGGAATCGGCATGAATTTTGCTCAGGCTTTTCGTGCCCTCCCTGGTTCGGAGGGGGATTCCGGAGTGTTCTTGCGCCAGACTCTTGCGGCTCTGATTTGGCTCGATGGTTCTTAAACAGACAGAAACACCACATATGTATAGAGACATGCAAACCAACAAAAAACCAACTGCGCCACTTCTTGCTTGGTCAAAGAAAAAGACGTAGATCCAAGACGATCGATTTCCCCTTGTTATTCCCTGAAGAGGATTTCTTGCATCCAGTATCAAATCACCTCAAATCACACTCAGGGTGATCAGTGGCCATCCGACTGTCACTGTGCCACTGAAGTAGTGGCCATCCACTCCTGCAGTGAACTAGATCCCAGGCATGATTTACTACAGTTTACCTGACAAAGTGACCTAGAACTATACTGCAAAAACATAGCACGGAACCATGTAACACCGCAATACCACGCCAAACGTTCGTGCTGCATTCGTTGCGGCGCTGTCGACCCCACGGCCAAAGTCGCGGAACTTGATGGCAAAACACTGATCAGTACAGTCCCTCAAGCAACTAATTAACCTTCTCAATCTGAATTTACGAGACTTTAGAGATTTTCGCACCTCTCAACTTCTGAAAACGCCGCCACCATGGCTCCATGGCCATTGGCCGAACTGGTCCTAGTGGGCCGCACCGGCGCGGTGCAGTGCTGCTCTCATTGGCGGTTTTTTCGGCGCAGCGTAGCGCGAGTGGAAAGAAGGTGGCGGATGGAGCACCAGGCGAGCTGAATTGAGTTTTGCCCAGTTTTTTGGTCCCAAGCTATGACATGCTATGACAATGAGTGAGACTCGTGAGACTCGTGCGGTTTCCCGGACCTTCCGAAGCGTTGGAAAGGAGCAAAGCGTTGGCCAATTGTCCGCTCCGAGGTTTTTTTTTCGAAGGACTCCAAGGATATTGCCAGGATGTTCCATGCCAATCACTGCCATCCGATGATCCTTCTGGCCCCCACCAACCACCCCCTTCGTTACTTCGGGCTCTCTCTCTCTCTCTCTCTTTACCTTCTCGCTCGCTCAACGCAGGCGTGTTGGACTGCACCTGGAGCCCTGCCTGGAGCGAGTTTCGGGACACCTTCCGCGCCAATGCGGAGCAAGGCTTCCCTCACAGCGAGGACCAGGGGGGGACCGTGACGATGAACGTGGAGGGGACCGTGACCAAGTCCACATGCCACGTGCCACGTGCCACGTGCCACGGTGAGGAACTGGGGACTTGTTCGCGAGGACTGGTGGTGTCGGTGAAGGTAAGATGAGGAGGTTGGGGGAAGGTCGACAGCAGTGTAGGACTTGTGTAAGGATTGGAATCGTTATCTAGGTCGGTCATGTCAGTTGGGTCGGTCGCTTCAGTAGGTTCACAAAGATGAAAGTTTTGGACAGCAGGTGGACCATTCCGTGAGTGGAGGCCATGGCCTCCGTACAACCCCTTTTGAGAGGAACACTTGGCCGTGTTTAGTGGGGCCTTCCACGAATTGCAATTACCTTTTTCGAGCGGTTCTTTCCAGCTTAATTGTGTTCTTCCACTTCATGCTCAAACATCCACAGACCACCCACCTCTCCATCTCGGACCGATCGAAAAAACCCGCCCAATGCAGGAGGTCTTCAACCAGGCCGATCGTTTGATCGCTCAGCTCCTCGGCCGGGGACGTAGGCGGCGGGTAAGGCGGCGACGGGGCAACGGGACGGAGGGGCAGGACGAGTTGGTCTCAAACAACCTCAGGAGGTAGGTAAAGCCAAACTCACCTTCCCCTTGGCTATAAATCCTCTCATCCTTGAGAGTCAAGATGGGTTTTGCACGATCTACGACCTGCTCACGAAGTGCACAGTTCTCAGCAAAGGGACCTCAAAATGTCCAAAACCCAACCGAACCTCAACACTGGGGAGGAGAGGTGGAACAGGGTACAGCCCTTGGGCGAACCAGGAACATCCTCACCTTCCTGGAGTTCCATCGCTCAAAGTCGAATGCCTTCTTTCATGGCTGTGACCGGGAGACTGGTCGACGGGGGCGAACAGGTGGGGTTAAGACAGGCACGGGACTGTAGGTTATCCCGGGACTGCTTGCTTGTCAAGCGAGTGAGATGGTGACGTTACAGCCCTTTTTGCCAGGGTTTTTTCGTTTCAACTCAGATCTACAGCAGGGAGGGCAACTTCTTTTTCATTGTACCGAACGTCATGAACTAAGTGCAAGCTGGGACAAACGTACGAGAACGTGAGCACGGCATGAGCACGGCTCTGCGGCGCTCTGCGGCGCTCTGCGGTGCTCTGCGGCTTTGCGGTCGGAACAAGATCGAAAACGCGACACCGTCAGCATGACTGTCACGCATCGTCACGCGCATGTCATGCCTTGAGCCCATCGAGCCTTTGGGTTGCTCCCTCCATGCGCATGTCATGCCTTGGATAGCAAGCTTCTATCATTCTTTCCATACAAACTGCTAGGTAATGGGGGCAACGGCGCCATCACTGCTGTTGGAATCCTGGAAGTAAATGTTGGACAATCCAGATCATGTGCAGATTGCCCACAAACCACATGGTTTGTAAAGGACATCGCCTTTGGCTTCAAGCTCGATTTGCGTGAAGCCATTGACAGGAGACCCGAGAGGACATGGTCTGCTTGTATGGGATGCTCTCTGCACCCTGGATTGAGCACACAGCACAGTTTTTTGCCAGTTGGACTACGTGAGCCCTAAGGAAGGAAAGAACTTCGTAAGGTACAACGAGGTTAAATATCTGGTTGGGTGGTGCTAGTTCTTTTTTTTCCGTAGGTTTCGGTGTTGAAGCCTTAATGATTCTTCGAGACTTCCGGAGCAGTGAATGCAGAAATCCTCTAGATTTCCGAGATGGAATATGACATAATTTGCAGAACATCCCATAAGACTCAACACTCTCAATAGTAGCTCTCTCAGCATCGCCTCATTCCACTTCTTCTTTTAGTTGGCTCGACTCATCGAAGAGCAACGCCTTGATGAGTTGACGAGGGAATTCAAGCTGAGCTTCTTCCCCGGTCGGGGGGGAAGCCTTCTTCAGCAAGAGTCCAGACTTCCTCAAGCACGAGGTTGTGGAAGTCTTTTCCATCAGAACACACACACACACACTCATAGACTCATAGCTCCATGAATGCAACAAGAGTCCAAGCGAGAAGTTGCTTTCGACTCCCTAAGGTTCGCGGGCAATAGCAGATATAGCAGTACGGCTTCTACTTAGAAGCCGAACAAACAACCGGAGCTTCAGACCCCCAACGCTGGAACGTCACGACCAGCACCGGAACGTAACGTGGGGGCGTTTTCAGTTGGGTGAGGATTCCATGGCACTGAGTGAGAGAAGTTGTCGAGCCACCCGTTTGGCCACAAAAAAAAACCAGCGACGGTCTACGACTCCTCCATTGGGATGAGCCAGCCTGAATTCAAATACACCATGCAGTCACACGAACCTCAATTTATACGTCGACATGACATGAAACAAACTCTGCCCGTACCAAGCCGTACCAATCGAAGCTTGATGTTTCGGAAGGAAAGACCATGAAACATCATCACTCGACTCGACACTTCTGAGGCGCTCTTCGTCCACCACATCTACCTCCGCAGCAACCTCGAGGCCTCCGCGGGTTCCGCCTCCGCTGCTGACCACGCTTCTGCTGACGCGGCCATGGCCGATGACCAGGAGGTCTTCCGTCTCTCCACGAATCTGGCGCGGCTGCTGGTGATCAATAAGAGACGCGGCCTTTGCGACAGGTGGACGGGATGGCAGGGGACCCCCAACATGGATGGTAGGGGTAGTAGGGGGCGGAGACATCTGTCGATATGCGAGCCATGCATGCCATGGAAGGTCGTCTCTGACGGCCAAGCACCAACGCTGAGTTCTCGGGCCTCCAAACGCAACAATCTCCAACAAAAAGACGCCCCCAAGAGAAGCGAAGCTTCCTGCTCTCTCCCCCAGTTCCCCGCACATTTCTTGAACGGCGCTCTTGCTTGTGTTGCTTCGGCCAAGCAAGTTCCTGCCGACCCAGGAACAACTGCTTGGATTTCTTCGACTCCTCCCATTGGCCGCTCAGCGTCGCGCAGCTGGTGACCACCTTAAGGCGCTGCAAAAACCGGGTTCGCGTCCGCCGACGTCCCAGCTCCGGACGTTCGAGGCCGGAGGAGCTGGAGGACTTGCCTCTGCCACCATCGAGACACTGGGCCGTTTGGCAGATGCCCAGTGTACCCAGCTTGCCAGGCGCAAGAGTCGCGCCGCTTGTGAGACAGTCTCGCGAGACCAATATACTGACTAGTATTCACCCCGCTGCTTACGGAGTTGAGCGCTGCTGGGTCGGTGGTGCCTAGTTCTTTTTTGGGGAGGCGATTACGGGGGGAGGTGAACAGATGGGGTCAGGTGATGTGGTCAGGTGCTTCCCATAAATAAAGAGGCTGGAACATGCTAGAAAGTTCAAGTCACGTGCCAGTGTACAGTATGATGTTTCTAGCATTGGCACGAGCATCCTGGCAGTTTCGCACAAGAAACATCATAATTCCATTGCTCTCTATGTGCTGCAGACTCCCCCCCCACCCCAAAACCACCAAACCAATCCCAAAACACCACCTTTGCACCGGCTCCCCTCTTCGCGCGCCACACCTCTCCGCACGAGGGACCTCTTCGCCTCGCCTGCTCTGCTACATCACCGGTACCCACGCGGCGCTCGCGCGGGAGCCGGCGGAGATGCTGTGGCGCTTCGGCCCACCCCTGCTGGGGCTCCCCGTGGCCTCGGTCATGGAGGTCGGGCGTCTGGGGATCGAGCGGACGACGAGCGTTGGGGGAGCTGAGATTGATAGGGATCGAGTCGGGTCGGATGTCGGGTCCGAAGCACCTGGTAGGTCCCAAGGACGAAGGACGGGCGT